GAGCCCGATGCAGGGCTCGATCCCAGGACCCTGGGATCATGACCTGAGCCGAAGGCAGATGCTTAACCAGCTGAGCCACCCAGGCGCCCCTGAATTGGCATTTCTTAAATGAGACAGAGTTCTGTGTCTGCTGGACGGCCTTTGGTTTTCTGCTTCTCTTGTCAGTCTGTTACGATTTGACAAGCTGCCTGTGACTTCTTTTTAAAACTCGGCTATTCAAACTTGGTCATCTCTCTCATGCATGTTGTTAGGGATTTCCCTAGCTAAAAATGTCAAGTTCTTGATGACTCTCGTTAAAATTAAAAATGGTTAGTTTATTTTCCATCTATGAAATGGTTTCAGCAGTAGGTCTTCATTAATAGTGTTTTGGTGGTCTCTGTTGCTTTTCTTCGGATGAGCAGAGTTCTGTAGCGAACAGAATCAGTAGCTCTGTTCATAAATACTTTTAGGGATACCAACTCTGTACTGGAGAAGAAATGTGAGAATAAGTTTTGCCAATATCCTTTATGAAGCACTAATTATGTCAGTGAAACTTAGGTGTGTTTGTCAGTGTAAAGAAAGTAGTTTGACCTTCTGTCTGCTTTTTTTCCCAGGAGTAAAGAAAATTGCATTGTGGATAACATCAAAGTGTGTAGTAATGACACTGGCAGTGGGAAGTTCAAGTGTATTTGCATCACGATGAGAGTCCCTCGGAACCCAACTATCGGAGATAAATTCGCTAGTCGCCACGGGCAGAAGGGCATCTTGAGCAGGTTGTGGCCAGTTGAGGACATGCCTTTCACCGAGAGCGGGATGGTCCCAGACATCCTGTTCAATCCTCACGGTTTTCCCTCCCGCATGACCATCGGGATGTTAATTGAAAGTATGGCAGGGAAGTCTGCTGCTCTGCATGGTCTCTGCCATGATGCGACACCCTTCACCTTTTCAGAGGAGAACTCGGCCTTAGAGTACTTCGGCGAGCTGTTAAAAGCCGCTGGCTACAACTTCTATGGCACCGAGAGGTTGTATAGTGGCATCAGTGGGATAGAACTGGAAGCAGACATTTTCATAGGCGTGGTTTATTACCAGCGTTTACGCCACATGGTTTCAGACAAATTCCAGGTTAGAACCACGGGAGCCAGAGACAAAGTCACGAACCAGCCTATTGGGGGAAGAAATGTCCAGGGTGGAATCCGTTTTGGGGAAATGGAGCGCGATGCTCTTTTAGCTCATGGTACATCTTTTCTCCTTCATGACCGCCTCTTCAACTGTTCGGATCGCTCAGTAGCCCATGTGTGCGTGAAGTGTGGTAGTTTACTCTCTCCGCTGCTGGAGAAGCCACCCCCTTCTTGGTCTGCCACACGCAACAGAAAATACAACTGTGCTTTGTGTGATCGCAGCGACACCATCGACACTGTTTCTGTGCCTTACGTTTTCCGGTATTTTGTAGCGGAACTGGCAGCTATGAACATCAAGGTGAAACTGGACGTCATTTAACTTGATGTGGCCTTTTGGGTTAGGAGAACTCTCAGATTAAAACCAAATATACCTTGAGCTCAGTGAAGATATGACTTGGTTACTCTGGAGTGTTTTTCAAGGGTGTTCAAGTTTCCCACCGAGACCTAGCAACTAAGAATTCAGGATTTCTGAGTCTGACCAGTATGGTAACTACTGAAGTTGATTTTCAGTATATTTGTTAAAAAATTCCACAAGTATCTTCTTTAAAAATGATACACTGATAGAAGGATATATAGGGAAGTCTTTCCAACCCCAGGGTCTTTGTACCCTACTTTCAGTGGGCAGTGACCATCGAACATTGCTCCATCTAGAACCGAGCAATCCAGTACAAATACCATGCAAGTCACATATGTAATTTTATATTTGCTTATATCCACATTAAAGTAAAAACCAAAGGTAGCTCTATTGAAGTGTAATTGTTACACAAAACTGTGCATAGTTAACGTGTACAATTTGATGGGTTTGAGCATACGCATACACCTGTGAAATGATCACCACAATCGAGGTAATAAACATCACCCTCCAAAAGATTCCTTGTGCACTTTGGGGTTGTGTGTGTTTTTGGTAAAAACACTGAATTTGATATCTACCCTCTTAACAAATGTTTAGGTGTACAATAGAGTATTGTTAACTACAGGCAGAATTGACTCGTCTTGTATAAGTGGAGCTTTACACCTGTTCAGTAGCAACTCCCCATTTCCCTCCCACCAGCTCCTGGTAGCCATCACTCTAGGCTGTGAGTTTGACTCTCTTATTAGATACCTCATATAAGTGAGATCATGCAGTATTTGTGCTTCTGTGATGGGCTTATTTCACTTAGCATAATGGCCTTCAGGTTTATCCATGTTGTTGCATATGGCAGGATTTCCTTTTTTAAGGCTGAATAATATTCCTTTTTGTGTGTATAGCACATTTTCTTTATTTGTTCATCTTTTTTTTTTTTTTTAGATTTTATTTATTTGAGAGAGCAAGAAAAAGCACCAGCAGGGGGTGGGGGGGAAGCAGGGTTCCTGCCAAGCAGGGAGCCCAACGTGGGGCTCGATCCCAGGACCCCACAATCATAACCTGAGCCGAAGGCAGATGCTTAACCAGTGGAGCCACCCAGGCGCCCCTATTGGTTCATCTCTTGATGGACATTTAGGTTGTTTCCATACCTTAGAAATAATGTTCATATACTGTATTTTATTTAATATAGTCAAAATGACATTTCCACATATAATAAGTAACAATTTATGGAGATATTTTACATTCTTTTTTCATACTAATCTCTCAAATCCAGTGGCTGTTTTTCTTTGTACATTTCATTGTACGTACGTGCTGTCCCCCCCGTTGGCGCGCATTTGGGCAGCCCCGTTCTTTGGCTACTGTAAACAGTGCTGGCAGTAGATAACCTTGTATTCGCTCGTTAATCATGCTCTTTGATGTTAAACTTCACTAAGATAATTCTTGAGTCTGGCTTTAGGTGTCTGTTACTAACTAGAAGGCAGATAGGGCTAGACTGAGAAAAATGTATATCCTGGCTTTGCTTCATGAAACTGTTGGGGAAAAAAATAAGGAAAAATGCCTCAAATCTAGTGGCTGACACTTTCACCTACTGTTAGTAGAATCCCAGCTGAACTTTAGACAGTCTCTGTCTATCTCACAATCCCATAGCTGAGGTATGTTGTTCCAAGTCTCCTAATTTTTTTAGGAGCACCAAAAATGGTAATAAATAAATAAAGTTTGTTTTAACTTTTACTTGTTTTTTTATTTAAATTCCAGTTAATATATAGTGTAATATTAGTTTCAGGAGTAGAATTTAGAGATTCATCACTTCCATATAATACCCAGTGCTCATCACAAGTGCCCTCCTTAATCCCCATCACCCATTTACCCCATCCCCCTGCCCGCCTCCCCTCCAGCAACCCTCTGTTCTCTAGAGTTAAGAGTCTTTTATGGTTTGCCTCTCTCCCTCCCACCCCTTGCTATGTTCATCTATTTTATTTCTTAAATTCCACATATTAGTGAAATCATATGTCTTTTCTCTGGCTTATTTGCTTAGCTTTTTTAAATTATAGATTCACAAAATTGACATTGGGACAATTCACAGAGTTTAGTCCTATTTCACGGTTTACACGCACTTGTTTATATATGTGTGTATAGTTCTGATCAATCTTATCACACCTGTAGATTGATGTAACCAACATAAGACACAACTAAAAACCATAAGTGACTCTTAATCATAAGAAATAAACTGAGGGTTGCTGGAGGGGAGCAGGTTGGGGGGATGGGGTAGCTGGGTGATGGACATTAAGGAGGAAAAGTGATTTAATGAACACTGGGTATTATATAAGACTGATGAATCACTGACCTCTTCCTCTGAATGTAATAATATACTATGTTAATTGAATTTAAATTAAAAAAAAAAAAAAGACGCACAACTATTCCACACCACAAGGCTCTGCCATGTTTTCCCTTTATAGCCATCCCCAACTCCATCCCCCAACTTTAACCCCTGGCAACCACTAATCTATTCTCCGTCTCAATCATTTTGTTATTTCAAGAATATTATATAAATGGGGGCGCCTGGGTGGCTCAGTTGGTTAAGCGACTGCCTTCAGCTCGGGTCATGATCCTGGAGTCTCGGGATCGAGTCCCGCATCTGGCTCCCTGCTCAGCAGGGAGTCTGCTTCTCCTTCTGACCCTCCCCCCTCTCATGCTCTCTATCTCATTCTCTCTCAATTAAATAAAATAAAAAAAAAGAATATTATATAAATGGAATCATACAGTATGTGACCTTTTGAAATTGGCCTTTTCCACTCAGTGCAATTCCCTTGAGATCCACTGAAGTTCTTGAATGTATCTGTAATTTATTCCTTCTTACTGTCCCTCAGCACTCCATGATATGGAGCAGTTTATACTTTATCATTTGGGTTTGGTTTTTGGTAGATCATGCTTTTGGTGTCATGTCTTAAGAACTCTTCAAGCCCAAAGATTTTATCATAATATCTTCTAAATGTTTATAATTTTATGCTGTACATTTAAATCTGTGATCCATTTATCCCTTTTGAGTTTATTTTTTTTAAAGATTTTATTTATTTGACAGAGAGAGACACAGCAAGAGAGGGAACACAAGCAGGGGGAGTGGGAGAGGCAGAGGCAGGCTTCCCGCTGAGCAGGGAGCCCGATGTGGGGCTCGAGCCCAGGACCCTGGGATCATGACCTGAGCCGAAGGCAGACGCTTAACGACTGAGCCACCCAGGCGCCCCTTGAGTTTATTTTTTTTTAAAGATTTATCCCTTTATTAGAATGTGCAAGTGGGGAGGGTAGGGTGAGGCAGGCAGAATCTCCAGCGGACTCCCTGCTGAGCAGGGAGCCCGGAGCAGGGATTGATCACAGAACCCTGAGATCACCACCTGAGCTGAAATCAAGAGTCCAAATGCCCAATGACTGAACCACCCAGGCGCCCCTTGAATTTATTTTTGTATAAGGTGTGAGGTTCAGATCAAGATTCTTTTTTTTTTTTTTGCCAGAGAATTGGGTGATAAGTATCATTTTGAATGTTGTTCTGGTATAACACAAATCAGTGTATGCAGTGAAGGGATAAGGTATAGACAAGATACATATTTATACAAATGGAATGTTGTTTCAAAACAAATGTCTTCAAGGGAAGGATGGAGCTGTAGGTAAAACTGAATGTTACATCTATGAATGGAATATTGCATAACAATATTTTAAAGAAGTAAATACAAAATTGAATGATAGGGGGCGCCTGGGTGGCTTAGTTGTTAAGCGTCTGCCTTCGGCTTGGGTCGTGATCCTAGGGTCCTGGGATAGAGCCCCGCATTGGGCTCCCTGCTCCGTGGGGGGCCTGCTTCTCCCTCTCCCACTCCCCCTGCTTGTGTTCCCTCTCTCGCTGTGTCTCTCTATCAAATAAATAAAAGCTTAAAAAAAAATTGAATGATAGGTTAATTATCTGAATAGTATATGGATAGATTAAAAACTGCAATAAAATAGGGCTGTATGTTATATTTCTGTATTGTTTATAAGTTTCTGTATTGTTTATAAGTTTCCTAATGAAAGAACAGAACTACACACAAGATGGAATAAATAATTTGTCTCTGTTAAGAATGTTGATCCAGAGCGTCTGGGTGGCTCAGTTGGTTAAGCATCTGCTTTCGGCTCAGGTCATGATCCCAGGGCCCTGGGATGGAGCCCCACATTAGCCTTCCTGCTCAGTGGAGAGCCTCCTTCTCCGTCTCCCTCTGCTGCTCCCCCTGCTTGTGTTCTCTCTCTCTCTATCAAATAAATAAATAAAAATCTAAAAAAAAAAAAAAGAATGTTGATCCAACAAAAATGAATTGCCCACTGTGGTCCTTGAAACTAACCTGTTTTATTTAATGGACACTCCATACACCCAAGTGGTTGTAACAGGTACTGCAAGATGTATTATACGAATAGACGTTTCAAGTATGTGTGGTACTTCTTTTTTTTTTTAAAGATTTTATTTATTTATTT